AAAATCAACAAAAAAGAAAACATCCATCATGAGCGATTGTAAAAACATGTAACAGTACCTGCGGGGTAATGCTTCGGCTAAATCCCTCACTGGTTCCGATCGTCAAGCGCTTAGCGTGAGGACGATGGCCAGTGACCCACGGATGCAGAAGGGCGTTGGTAGTACCACAACGCTTTGGTAGTACCACATATCATGGAGAAGGTGGAGAAAAGAGGAAGCACGAGCAGCATCACAAGTCAAGCCAGCAACATTTCTGTCTTCAGTAATGTTTCTGCGATTGACATTGCTAGCTGCAATAAAGATCCAGAGGAATGCATTAAGCTGCGGGAGGAAGAGGCAGCGAGCATTCTAAAAATAGAGGATGAGGTCAGCAAGATGCTGAAGTCCTGTGAGGTCCAGAGGAGTGTCAGTATGACAATCAAGGATGGACTCAGAAGCATAAGATAAGATGAGAAGTTCTACCAGGGATTAACCTGGTCAGAAGAAGCACGCAAAGACCGAAGGATGATACATGACCGTTTCAACGCAGCAATGCTAAGAAACGTTGTCTTGAAGAGTCAGAAGCGGAAGAGAAGTGGTCCAGAGTTTGTGAAGGACACAAAGAGGAAGAAGGAGGAGGGACCTTCTAAAAGGACTGAAAGCATGGGTACCAAGTCGGCACCAAAGTCAAATTCAGTCAAGAACAGAAGACAGCCACAACAACGAACAACAATGATCGTCAAAGTGGCTGAAGGGACATCATTCGCGAACGTCTTGAAGAAGGTTCGTGAAGAGGCTGACCTGGAGGCCAGTAAGACAACGGTTGTGGGAGCTTTTTCCACTAAAAAGGGAGACCTTCTTATCAAAATTGGAGGGACTTCAAGTAAGGCGTTGTTCACCGAGAAGGTGATAAGGGTCATTGGAGCACTAGGTAAGGTGCAAAAGGCGGCCCGGCGAACTACGTTGGAAATACGCGATATGGATGCCCTTACAGAAAAAGAAGACGTACTGGGTGCCCTGGAGAAGGTTTCTACGGTACCAACAGGAAGCAGGAAGGTGACGGTCCTTGGACCAATTAAGAGAGGAGCAAAGCTCGCTGTCGTGGTCACCAGCCAGGAAGACGCTGATAAGCTAGAGAAAATCGGGGACATAAAGATTGGGTTCGTCTCTTGCAGGATAAGAAGAAGAACTATGGTCAGAAGGTGTCATAGGTGCCTTGACTATGGCCATATAGGTAGAGATTGTCAAGCAGTATATAGGTCGGCTGCGTGCTTCAAGTGCGAAGAAGCCGGCCATACACGGAGAAAAATTTATTCGTACTGATTACAATAGTCTATATTACTGCTCGGATATGTGACCACTTTTTGTTATGATTACTATAGCTGTTGTAAGGAGTGCAAACATGAAGGTATCCCTTACAACAGCTATAGTAATCGTTCCTACTCAATTCTTAACACATTACATAGTCTTCGTAATCATTCCAAAAAGTGGTCACATATCCGCGCTGTAATGTAGACTATTGTAATCATTAAAAATAATTTTTCTCCGTGTAGGCAGCAGATTGTAAGAAGAGTCCATGCTGCTTCTTATGCCAGGCGAAGTTCGGCGAAAAGGAGGACATCCAACATGTTGCTGGATCAGGAGAATGCAGAGTCTTCAGAACTGCCCTAGAGGAAGCCAAGAAGACTTTGTCAAGGACAAGAAGGAAATAAGGCCAGAACAAGAGCGGCACGGAAGGTCGCGTTAGCGACTAAATGGGGCCATTCATCTACGAAGTCTGAAGCCACTGGGTAGTTCTGTAGGTGGATAAAAGGTAGGTAAAAAAAGGGTTTCAACATGGTATGGTCGATGTCAGTTCTTTCTTGGTGTCAAATTCCAACGGCAATCGACAGACTCCTGTATAAATCAATTTGTAACAAATTGGTTCTCTAAAGAAGATTTTAATGATTTCATAACCTTTCCAATTGAATTTATTCGGTTGTAAAGTTTATGTTAACTACCCTTGCAGAAGGCAAAAAATAAAATAAACATTTAATATAAATATATATAATAATTGTTTATGAAAAAATTTCTTTTTGGTGAGGCGTTTCGTAGAACGTGAGCACCTTGTACGTGATTTTTAATAATTTTGTAAAACTCATTAAACGCGTCGGCCCACTCTGGTTCTTTTTGGAAAATCTTCTGTACATTATAAGGTATAAATAAATTTTAAAAAAATAAAAAGAATCGGGTCCAAAGTTAAAAAAAATTAATTTATTTTGGGTGAGTGCGTCAATTGCTGAGGATGCTTCAATTCCTGCGCGTTCGTTAATTGTGTAATTATTTATTACAAGAAAATATGTGACGCGCTCCCAAGAAAGGTACCTAAGTAGCAAAAAAATGTGAGGTTCTGTTTTAAATTTTTTTAATGAAAATACAGAAAGAGAATCAATTATTAATTAAAAATTTTTGGTCTTCAAGTATTCATTATATTCAAAATATTAAATGAATATTGGTTTCAAATTCTAATAATTAAAAATGAACTTTTAATCAAGGTAAATCTAACTCGAACCCAACCTATAATTCGTTTGCTTCTTAAGTACCTTTCTTGGGAGCGCGTCACATATTAATGTTTAAATGTTCTGCTTACCGCATAATCTGAAACATGCATGTGAAATGCATGTGCTTTAGTTGCTGCGGGCAAAATGACATCCAATATCTAAATACATGCTATTTTGGCCGTAGAAACTGACGCGCAGCAATTGACACAGAGCGCAGGATTGGACGCTTTTGATACTCTTTTTAATTATTTAAATTATAAAATGCTATAATTTTATAGGCTATTAATTGTTGTAAAAATTTCCTAAGAATACAAACAATTTGTTTAATAAATTTTTAATTTAATTCCTTTGCTATAAATTTTTTTTTTTTATGCAAAAGATATCTTAGCTGGAATGCCGCAGGAACTAGTGCACTTACTCTATAAAAAGAAAATTATTTAAAAAAAAAATTTTTTTTTACATTTCTTAAAAGTAAAAAGAAAATTAAAACTTTCATTCTTTGACAAGTTTTTTCTAAACTCAATGTCTTCAGACTTATAAGCTACTGAAAATATGTCTACAGTTACAAATCCAAAAATTCATATTAACTCGAAAATTTGGGCGATTCAACAAAAATAAAAAAATACGTACCTATTTCTTTTTTTCTATAAGGATTAAGAAAAAAATATGTTTAACCGAATTTTAAAGGTAATAGGTAATTACGTGGAATTGCGCGTATATAAATGATTTGCAAACAGATTTTCGATATTTTCCACGTATTTTACATTCGAAAATATACACTTGTACTAAATTTTAACCCTCTAAGTTAAAATAGCCGAGTTTAGGAAGGAGAGTCTAAAAATGTTCATTGTTTAATCGAAAAATACATAAATGGTTTTTAATGTACGAATTATTTATCACCCATTCGAAATATTGAATACAAACTTTTTACCAGCATCCAAGTAACTAAATTTTGAAGCATTTTAGTATTTCCAGATATTAATTCTAATAAACTCCTTCATTCGTTATTTATCACTGGCCATATTAAATTTCAAAAAACTTCCAACGGGATAAAAATGTAGATAATTCAAGCTAAATTTTACAATAAAATTAAAATTCAAGTACAGTAGTATGTGTTCGACAAATCAAGCTATACTGGGAACCAGATTAACACGCAAACAGCAGAAGCTTTCAAATACACTGGAAACTTCGAAGAGCGGTATTCCGAAGAGCGAAATAAATAGGGGAGAGGCACGGTAAAAAGACGGAGGGAGAAAAATGGGCGGGTTCAGAAACTGAAATCTACAAGCAAGAGCGTATATAGTTAAAGTGGTGCGTGATGTTCGTGCCCCGTGTGCGTCACGCTTTGGAAAAAATTAAAAGGCACAAAAATACGCGTACGGTCCTGCGTGTTTATAGAATCTAACCTCTCCCGGCCGTTCAAGGACTAACTCCCAAGAGCGGGATAAGACTCTAGCCGTTCGCTCTTCGGAGTTTCCAGTGTAATACAAAAAAAAGTTATTTCAAGTGTCTAAAAAAAAACAATTTAAAATTTGTTCCAATTTTTTAATTCTCTTTTAAACAGTTGAAGGACAACTATTTTAATAAAATTGCAATTTATCCAATAAAAACAATTCACTAGGTAATTTAATATCTACTTGTTCTTCGCAATAAACGATCCTGGACTCGTTAGCTTTTGCAAATAAAAAAAATCCAACGAGGTGCAAGTGGAAAATAATGAAATTCGTAATACTTTCACATAAAAGTACTCTTTTCAGTAAATTCAATTCTTTTTTAATTTCTAATTTTTAAAGGACTTTTTTCCACGGTAAAAAAAATATTGGTTGTATAAATCGTCTAAAATTATACTAGCGAACAGTAACTATTGTAAATATAAGTTTTCGAATAATTGTAATTTAGCATTACGAGAGATATGATAGAATGCCTAATGAGTAAAAAAAATTCAGCAGTCATTCGAAAAATTTATTAAGTAAGGTTAATATTTTAGAGAAGATTCTACAAAATCCTTTCTATTCTGATTAATCCAAATTAAATTAATTAAATTCTGATTATCCAAATTTAAAAAAATTCATACAAAACAAAAGAATAATTATTAAATAAAAAAATACATAAATATCTAAATATTATTCCACTAATTTATTATCATAACTAAGTTTTTACGTAATTTTCTCCCTTTAAAACTAATTTTAATTCACAAACTACTTGTCTTCTTATCTAATCTTTCTAGATTATTTCAATAATACACTACAGAATACGACTAAAATTGAAATTTTCGAAAACTGGTTTAAAAAATTTCTTTTTATGATATGAAAAATATTTTTTAAGGCTCTTTTTAGAATGTAATAATGTGAGACATATATTTTTGTTACAGAGAAGACGCGATGTAATGACACACAGTTTTGAATTTTGTTGATTCTTTTTTTTAGTAATATAAAAAGAAAAGCACATGAAAACAAAATGGAAAGAAATGAATTTTCCTACCTTTCACGTCATCGTCTTCTATTGTCGTACTGCTATCGGTTGACTCCTTCACTTGAGATCCGTCTCCCTTCTTCGTAACGATGCTTCGAGCTGAAGTGTGCAAATAATTTTTAGTGAATTGACAAAAAAATTGTTCTCAGCGAAATTATTAACTGAGAAATTTTACAATTGTTACATTAAAAATTTATTCATTGTCAATATAATACGGATTTCAATATTATTCCAATATTATAAAATTATTATTGCTTCAAACTTTAAATTAAACAGAATATTTTATAATTATAACAAAAATTAGATTTAAACAAATTTTTATTTTTCAAAATAAATTCAGAATATTTTCTTAGTTACTAAAATTAATTTTAATTTCATTCAGAAATTTTTTTAAATTTCAATTTCTAGAAAGTGAAATATATTATTTTATTCCTAAAAGGAGTAAAATATTTTTACCAGCAAAATTTAAAAAAATTATTATGCGTGACAAGTGTTTAAAGTTGTTTTAACAATATAAAATTATAATAAAAATAATAAATTTTTGAAAATAAAAAGAATCGTTTATTGACAATGAGAAAATTTTCGTGAAAATAGTGGAAAAAAATTTTAAAAGCTAGTCAAACAATTGTTTTTGTTGCTTTTTTGAAAAAATTGCACGATATGTAAAATTATATCTATTGTAGAAAACTTTCGATAATTTAAAAAATTAATAATACAAATTTTATTGATCTTTCAGAGAACTTTTTTCAATTTAATTTTTCAAATTAATTTTTTCAATAACTTTTATTTTACAATATTTTTTCTGTATCCCCTAGCCGAAAGTACCCCGTGTAAAAATTTCCCCATTTGTCCCTGTCTCTAGTAAAGCCCTCGCTAGATTCTGACTAGAATCTCTAGTGTAGAAAAACTAGTCGGGTCCCTATCGAATTCTAGTAAGATAATTTAGACTAGGAAAACTCACTAGAATACTATCATATTCTAGTTAGGATAATCTGGACTAGAGAAAACTGATCAGGACCTTATTGATTTCCAACTAGACAAACGCAAAATAGTGTACAAGTATTATACATCAATATTGTCTTTTTAGATAAATAATTCAGATTAATTAATAGAAAAACTTAAACGCTTTATTTATTAAAAAATTTTTCATATTATTTGATTATTTAATTTTTTAACATATTTTAAAGACAATTTCAATATTGTAAAATATTTTTGCAAAAAAATCAAATCAAACAATTTTATCAAATAAAAATCTTTTATTTAAATAAGTAAATTAAAAGAATAAATTATAAATAAATATTAATTATGTGGGTATAAATAATTTTTATTACCTACATAGTAATATTATTCGTAAAAATAATTTTTTTAGAATGATATGTATGTGCAATTATACCTTAAAATGTTCTTGACTATTAATAGAAACATTAACACTGGTTTACAGTGAAAATGTCAATCGAAAAAAACATTTTTTTTCGAATAGTAGGTGTTTTTTGAGTAAGAAAATCATTTTCTGTAGCTTCAAATTTTGCACGAGGTGCGACGCCACTTAAACTTACCTGTAGGAAAATTAGCTTGTCAAAATATAATAAATGAGGTATCATTGGAAAGGTTATTAAATTACCTTTCGATCCATATGTCACAGAATAAAATTCAACAAAAATTGAGAGAGTTACAGTCGATTAATGATGAAATTTTATGACAATTTTGATGATTTTTAGACATTTGAGTAACTTCTACTATTTTTTTCTACATCAAACAGGTAAGAATGTTTAGGTTTTAATTTTTTTATTGATAGACTATATCATTACACAAATTTTGAGCCCTTGTTGACCTCGATTGGATTAAAAATGAAAATTTTACACTAAATTTAGTGAACGAAACTACATTCTTTATTTTTAGTAGCCCTTAAACATTTGCAGCAAAAGTTGAAGTAATAAAATTTAGTTAAGTTCTAAAGTTACTAAAATAACTAATCAAGGATTTCTGAAATCGTAGATTTCGAATCCAATGTTAGTTTTCAAAATTTCAAATTGGCGGATCCAATATGGCGGACAAATTTCGGGGTTTTCGGGATCGCTGATTACGAATCCGATGTCGGATTTCGAAAATTGAAAATGATGGATTCAGAATGGTGAACGAGTTTTTAAAAATTCATCGAATTCGCACCTATTGGATCCGCCATTTTTAATTTTTGAAATCTGACATCGAATTCGTAATCAGCGACTCCAAAAACCCCCGAGTAACGAGTTTGAGACGAATTTCATCGATTTTTAAAAACTTTTCCGCCATATTGGATCCGCCATTTTGAAATTTGCAAAACTAACATTAATTAAACTAACCCTTGATTAGTGATTTTAGTAACTTTTGCGCTTAACTAAATTTTATTACTTGAATTTTTGCTGCAAATGTTTAAGGGATACTAAAAATAAAGAAAGTAGTTTCGTTCACTAAATTTAGTGTAAAATTGTTATTTTTAATTCAATCGAGGTCCACAAGGGCTCAAAATTTGTGTAATGATATAGTCTATCAATAAAAAATTAAAACCTAAACATTTTTTCCTGTTTGATGTAGAAAAAAATAATAGAAGTTACTCAAATGTCTAAAAATCATCAAAATTGTCATGAAATTTCATCCTTAATCGACTGTAAAAAAATTAAAACTATGATTTTCTTACTCAAAAAACACCTACTATTCGAAAAAAAAATGTTTTGTTCGATTGACAAAAAAAAGTTTTTAATTTGTGAACCTGTGTAATTAATAATTAAAATTATGTTATATTATTATAATTACAATATAATAAATTCAATAATATAATTATAAAAATTATAGTAAATATAAAAAGTAATGTTATTAATAATGTTTAATTGTTCAGTAATGTTATAATTAATTATTATATTAAGTATCATTAACAATGCAGAGTTAAATAAGAGTGAATTATATCTCCCCAAAATTCATAATGTAATTTAAGCAAAGGTCCTTCCAACCTAGCGTGGCTGTGAGGTATGTGTAACCGAAAGGGAAGTGTTCCGGTTGTGGGCACCCTTTTGTTTTTGCCTCATAACATTTGTCCATGTGCATATTATACAAATATATGTGTACGAATTTAAAGCTAGAGGTCTAAGGTGACTGTCAGTGAAGGAATTAAATTGATTCCTTTAAATAAAAAAGTTTTATTAGAAATTTAGTGAAATGGAAATTTTTTGCCAAAAAAATTTTTGTACCCGGTTGTGGGCACCCTTGAAAAATCCGCTAAAAATGGAAAAATATTAAAGGAAACCAACACAAATAAAGAAGAAATGAAAGTTTCTTTATTTTAAGAGACTTTTCCGGGATAAAAAACAAAAATGATGACACGTTTTCACACTATGCTCATCGCTAACAGAAGCATAATGCTAGCATGTGAAGTAGCTGGCCCACATATCATAACGCACTTCTAATGCACTGAACGACTATATTCATCGCATTTAATGGAGTTTGCGGCTGTCAATTTCCTTGGCAGAAAGTTTAGATAGATGAGACAGTAGTCCACATCATTGTCAGATGGTAGAGCCTCCTTAACATAAAGGTGCCCACAACCGAGAATGACAGTCATTTTTTAAAAATACCAACAAATTTTCTGATGCAGGATTTTGGTTAAACACGAAGGTAAATCACAAAATATAATGACAACACTGAAAAAAAAAGTTAAACCCTTTTTTTCTGAACGAATCTACACCCATATGTTGCTCTTCGAAAACAATATAAAATTACTTTTTTATTTATTTAATGCAAATTTTCTTTATTATGCTCACAGTTATTACATAAATGCATATATTTTTTTCGTTATCAATACGAAAAGTCCCTATTGTTAACGAACACGACTTGCAATACTTAGATCAGTAAAGTCTGCTTGCCGTCGAAGTTTACGTAGGGGTGCCCACAACCGGCGCACTTCCCCTACAACATTTGTTAATAATGGTAATGTGAATGAAGAATTCAATTATAAATAGGTTAAGTTGAAAAATAATAATTTTTAGAACCGGTAGAAGTAAACTAGAACTTTTAGTCGGGACCCCATCAACACGAGCGTGACAAAAGCGACTAGAACCCCACTAGTTTCTCTAGTTGGAGCCCTTTTTCAAATGGGGTAAACTAGTGAGGTCCCCACTAGAACCCAACCACCATTTTTACACGGGAAGGTCTTCCCGGTTTAATTTGCTTCCGGGAATAGCGACTTTTGTGGCCGGCTCGACTGAGCCAACGCAACGCGCGCTCTGATAACCTCAAAACTCAAGAAATGTTTGGTTAGAAATACCAAAATAATGCATGAAATTTATTATTTTCTTTTTTTGTTTTTTGATTATTTAAAAATATTTGTTTAAATTTAAATATTTATTTGTAAGAGAAAATTTTTTAATTGATTCTTATTTTTTAAATTTTACTTCGAATTATTTTTTACATATAATTTTCTTTTATGCCCGCTCCGACCAGCTAAGTCCCGGCTTCGCCTCGACTTTGCAAAAGTCGGGCGGGCAACTTATTGCGCTATTTTATTATTCAAACAATAATATTATTTAACGTACTTTCGGCTGTGGATACAGAAAAATTGTATACGACACACGGCCAGAAATTTGGATGCCCTGGCGAGTGTGATATATAAAGCCGGCCAGGAAATCCAACTTTCTGGCCTAGTATCGTAATATACTATTTTACAAGAAATTAATGAATAAAAGATCGAGCGATTTTTTCAATTTTATAAAATATATAAAATTGTTTCTGTATTATATTTTATGTACATCAATACACACGATCGGTGTTGACATTGATGTGAAATGTTCTTATCGTGTTCAGTTTCCATTGCTTACGAAATCCAAACCCGTGTAGAAATTACCCTACTAGGGCCATAGTAAAGAATAAAACGCCGCGCCTGATCAGGGACAGATCGGGGCGACAAAAAAATGTGCACGGAGAGAAATTTCTGTTAATATTTACCGTGCTGCCACCTAAAACTGTGTTCAAAGTGCATTCTGTCAGTTTTTACTGTGCTGCCTCCACAATCTGTAATGCAAAATTATAGAGAGAGCACAGTAAAAACTGCCAGAATGCACTTTGCACACAGT